CATAACTCCTTCCTTCTCCAGCCTTGTCTCCCACTTCTTTGGCAATTTCTAGGTGACGTTTATGGTACTCCATGGCTGTTTTGAACTGTCCTAGACCAGCATAAGCATTGCCAAGATTTCCATAACTGTTTCCTTCTCGAGCCTTGTCTCCCACTTCTTTGGCAATACCTAGGTGACGTTTATGGTACTCGATGGCTGTTTTGAACTGTCCTAAACAAACATAAGCATAGCCAAGATTTGCATAACTCTTTCCTTCTTCAGCCTTGTCTCCCACTTCTTTGGCAATCTCTAGGTGACGTTTATGGTACTCCATGGCTGTTTTGAACTGTCCTAGACCATGATAAGCCATGCCAAGATTTCCAGAACTGCTTCCTTCTCCAGCCTTATCTCCCACTTCTTTGGCAATTTCTAGGTGACGTTTAAGGTACTCAATGGCTGTTTTGAACTGTCCTAGACCATGATGAGCATTGCCAAGATTTCCAAAACTGTTTCCTTCTCCAGCCTTGTCTCCCCCTTCTTTGGCAATTTCTAGGTGACGTTTATGGTACTCGATGGCTGTTTTGAACTGTCCTAGACCATCATAAGCATTGCCAAGACTTCTATAACTGTCTCCTTCTCCAGTCTTGTCTCCCACTTCTTTGGCAATGTCTAGGTGACGTTTATGGTACTCGATGGCTGTTTTGAACTGTCTTAGACGATCATAAGCACTGCCAAGTTTTGCATAACTCTTTCCTTCTCCAGCCTTGTCTCCCACTTCTTTGGCAATTTCTAGGTGACGTTTAAGGTACTCAATGGCTGTTTTGAACTGTCCTAGACCATCATAAACAATGCCAAGATTTCCATAACTGTTTCCTTCTCCAGCCTTGTCTCCCACTTCTTTGGCAATTTCTAAGTGACGTTTAAGGCACTCAATGGCTGTTTTGAACTGTCCTAGACTATCATAGACAATGCCAAGATTTCCATAACTGTCTCCTTCTCCAGCCTTGTCTCCCACTTCTTTGGCAATTTCTAGGTGACGTTTATGGTACTCGATGGCTGTTTTGAACTCTCGTAGATCATGATAAGCATTGCCAAGATTTCGATAACTGTTTCCTTCTCCAGCCTTGTCTCCCACTTCTTTGGCAATTTCTAGGTGACGTTTAAGGTACTCAATGGCTGTTTTGAACTGTCCTAGAACATGATGAGCATTGCCAAGATTTCCATAACTGTTTCCTTCTTCAGCCTTGTCTCCCACTTCTTTGGCAGTTTCTAGGCGACGTTTAAGGTACTCAATGGCTGTTTTGAACTGTCGTAGACCATGATGGGCATTGCCAAGATTTCCATAACTGTTTCCTTCTCCAGCCTTGTCTCCCACTTCTTTGGCAATTTCTAGGTGACGTTTATGGTACTCGATGGCTATTTTGAACTGTCCTAAACGATGATAAGCATTGTCAAGATTTGCATAACTCTTTCCTTCTTCAGCCTTGTCTCCCACTTCTTTGGCAATCTCTAGGTCACGTTTATGGTACTCGATGGCTGTTTTGAACTGTCCTAGACCATGATAAGCATTGCCAAGATTTCCAAAACTCTTTCCTTCTCCAGCCTTGTCTCCCACTTCTTTGGCAATTTCTAGAGCACGTTTATAGTACTCGATGGCGGTTTTGAACTCTCCTAGACCATGATAAGCATTGCCAAGATTTCCATAAGTGTTTCCTTCTCCAGCCTTGTCTCCCACTTCCTTTGCAATTTCTAGGTGACGTTTAAGGAATTCAATGGCTGTTTTAAACTGTCGTAGACCACGATGAGCATTGCCAAGATTTCCAAAACTGTTTCCTTCTCCAGCCTTGTCTCCCCCTTCTTTGGCAATTTCTAGGTGACGTTTATGGTACTCGATGGCTGTTTTGAACTGTCCTAGACCATCATAAGCATTGCCAAGATTT